CCATCCATCCATCCATCCATCCATCCATCCATCCATCCATCCATCCATCCATCCATCCATCCATCCATCCATCCATCCATCCATCCATCCCAGCTAATTGCATCAACTCATTAATTAGCAGGATAGGCTCCTCTTGGATGAATATGTGGCGACAGTAAATATTCAATTGCAATTTGTCAGACTTGATCCTTCATTCTGAGCATGCATGTAGTGACAATGTAGATATATTTTTTTTTATTTTAACAGGAAGAAACTTCCAACAGAATCAGGCTCTGGTACATTTTTTGTTGATGTTCTTAATCACTTTTTTGGGGGGTTCTTGATGTGAAATACTTTGGTTAAATTGTTTGATATAAAATGCTGCATAAAATGTTGACATTGACCCAAATTTTGTGGAGTGTAAAATGACTGGCTAGAATGAATTCTGTTCTTGTTTAAAGCGATTCCATCTCATTTCAACAAAATAACAAAATGTCTTGTTCTTGCATAGTATACAGGCCAAAATTTCCTATCAGCATGTTCTCCCACCCTACAGTAAGTCTGTATTTATGTTGCTCCTCCAAAGTTATTGTAAGCCTTTCTGTCTGTTTCATTGATTAATGATTTCCATGCTCATCCTGTCAGTTTGGGTTTATGTTTACATCGTGCACTGGTATGGTTGTGTTGCACTCTCCCTTTTAAGAAGATAGTTTTCATAGTTTCCAACGAGATTTTAAAAGCTTATGAAAACATTTTGCATTTGTAATTTAAGCCTGCATCTCCACAACTTTCTTTGTGACCTGTTTGCTGTGCTCCTTGGTTCTCAAAAAAAAAACCTGATGAATACTTTCACAAGTCGCTGCATAATAGACATAATCTGTAATTGTGTTACGAAAAATCAGCTATTTTTAGTCTCGTGTCCATGGCCGCCTGTAGAGCAGGAGCAGGGCCATCATAGAAAATGTGAGCAGGGGCTGATTACATGAAAAACAATGTCAGGCTGTGCTGCCTACCCGCCTTGCTGCAATCAAATGTCTAACAAACAGCAGAATTCTTGTGGGCCGGAGCATGTCTGCACTCACTGAGCAACTTTAAAGACGTTTTTCTTTTAATAGGAAAAATGTGCATCACAGTATTTTTTTCTGGCCCTTCTCCAGTTCAGTTATAAGTAAGTGCACACTCTCAAGAGCCTTATTACCGCACACACACAAAAGCCTGTGGGAGAAGGATGCTTTCCCACAAGACAGGAGCAGAGATTCATTTGCAGCAAACAGAAAGATATCAACATATTCCCAAAGTGAACGAACACCTTGGACCTGAAAACAGCAGCAAAGCTGGCAGGAAGTGGAAGAAGCAGGTGACATTCAGGCATCATGCACAGATAGGAGTCTCACGTTCTCTTTGAAAAGGATTTCAATCTAATACAGAAGCAGCCTTTTACACAGCTGTAATTGCTCAGAGAGAGGCTGCATTGTAACAGAAGATAAACAGTTTAATCGGCGGCAGCTTGAAAACCAAATGCTGCGAGAGATTTTCTATGCCAATCATCACTTCAGCTCTTTATCTGGCTTTTTCTAAAATTTTGAAGAGAATGGCTACCGCAATTGGCCTTGAAATTTTTTCTTTTTATTTATCTCAGAGAGGGATCATGCTGCAAACTGGATCTGGAAGAATTAACTCAGTCCGAATGAGGGCTTTTTTCTAAATGTTCCACAGAGCAAACGTCTGCGCCAGCCGAGTGTGAAGATAGTTAGAAATAACTGCTCACCAAAAGCTGCTATTGTCCCTTTGTAGCAAATTGTAGAGCCCTATAACAACTCCTCTCACTTCGAGAGCATTCATTATTCAGCAATGTTCAGACTTTCTGTGAAACTCGAACACATTTCCACTCCAAAAACGACTGAGTGTGTCAGGCACAGCATGAGGGGAACTCTGAACCGCAAGACGCAGTCGTGTGTCTCTTCTATGCGAAGCAGAGAAGAGAAATACATCAAACACATGTTGAAGGGAGAATTTAATATATCTGTTTACAGTGATTAATAATGGCAAGCTGGCCACAACAGCAGTTTGAATTGTTAGGCACATGCTTTATCCAATCATGTGACAACTGGCTGTGTACAACAGTAGCAAAATATCACACCATCTGGCTTATGAGCCTTTTAATACAGCCCAGTCTGTTTGGTCCTTGTGCTTTAAAATACAATGACACATTGTACAATGCTACATCTCC